AAGTTCTGAGCAGTCATGCGCCGAGACTGTCATCTTCTTGGGACCTTCCATCAAGTACTGCTTTTTATTTGTTTGAATCTCAATCACCTTTCGATCACACTTCTCAAAGCGATTTTACACTGAATATTGTAAATAAAATAATTGTAAGCTACAAACTGAATCCGAAGTGTTATGTGTCTACATTTTGAGGGAATGAAGTCTTGATCACACTGAATAATTGAATGGTACAAAATAATGTCCACCATGGAACTGTAAATTCTATTTAAGCTGGAATATGTTTAAAATGCGTTGTTCCATTACGAATAATGCTAACCCTCTTCCTTTAATGTAACGTAACATTTTACAGTATTAAAGCAATCGATAGAATCCAGCGATTTGATCATAAGTGATCAATTTTGTCGATCAGATTGTTGATCGGTTCAATTTCAGAGGTGAGCCGTTGAAAGGAGCGACGGCGCCATCACCAAGAGATAAGACGAGACATGAGCTTGATAGTGAAAAGAAAAAGATGATAATGGAATGGATGGAACGAACTGGAAATGCTCCTACGGCAGTTGCACCATCTGAGCAGCCGATCGTGACTCGATCAATGAAGGTGATAAACTAGGTGCATGGAAATGGAGGAGTAGGATGAGATGAGGGTGTAGAGGGCTAAGTCGACAATTGCATTGAGCCTGGATAAAATTGAGCTATTTTTGAGAATATTCATAAAATGAATTCACGCTGTGCATTGATTACGGTCACCATGCAATATTCATCATATGTAATGAAGTGGTGGTACGCGTTTAAAATCGTTTCGCGTTTAACTCGACATATTCAATGGAAATTTGTCGGGATTAAGTTGATTTGAGCTCTTTTTGTCGTTGTTTATTTTTATATACCTGGATATATATCGCGTCCCAATTTAATGCGTTTACGTATATTTAGCCTGTATGTATTGTGGAATGCAATGACAATGCTTAGATTTACCTTCTAACATGGGAATAATGAGAATACTGATTTGTACTTACAACAAGGATAGTATAATANATCATTTCACAACTTGTCACCATCCGTTGCACGACATTCTCGAGGATGACGAGGAGGCATTGATGAGTTATGCGCAAACACCGTCCAAGGAATTGATCTCGATGAATGAGCAATTTGCGGATAACACGTGGAATTGTGATGGTGCTGCTGGTGATGATCGGCTTTCAGCCGGAATGGGTGCTGGCGAGGGAGGGGAGTCGATGTTGGATGGTGACGGTATTGTTGGTCATATCGAGCATCCTTTGAGCATCCTCAGTTTGGATAAAACGTCAGCGTCAACATCTGCAAAAAGTTCATCAGAAAACGTATAGATTTGAGAATTTTTGTGAACTACCACTGATTGATAAACATAAATTCAAATGCATAATGAATGAACGTCTTGAGTGAAATTTGAAACAATTTGAGATGCTTGAACATGTCGGATATTTTCTCGATTGTTTGAAGAAGTGAATCATTTCAGGAAGTTGACGATGATGACTTGGAAAGGGCGATGGCTGCAAGTGTGAGCTCGATTCGCTCGCATGAAATTCTCTCTCGACTCAATGATGATT